TTGGTCACCGTTACTGTTCTACAGTCAAAGCAAGTATTGTTTTGGCCTGGTGACTACAGTGGGATTGTTCTCAGGAATAAGGGCTGCTGGGACCCTAGAGATCAGCTACGAGAATCGTATTTTGTGGAGACTTGTGGTCACTGATTCTAAAAGTGATGTTTTCCTAATATGAGAGAGATGGTGGTTACCAAGGCTGTGCCTGTGTATAAATGAAGCCTTATTCTGTTTGTGAATGCTTCACGGTTTTTCTAACGAGAACTTGTTTTCCTCAATGTTTCCTTCTAAGTCTCAGGATTTTTTAACGCTAGAGAGGCTATTATGTTGTCTAGTCTGACAAAACAAGATGTAAAATATTACTGAACACAATAAATTTTGTTTAAAGTTCACCTTCATGGAACACATCTGACCTTGACTGAAACATCATAAGTCAAAATTTCTCTTGGTAGTTTTTCCACATGTCACCAATGCTCTCTCATTAGAAGCAATATATTAATTATCTATTAACTAGCCCAGTCCCAAATTTCTAATACTTATTATTGTTCCTTGATATGTGATTTACTTACCTGTCTTCTTTGGCTAAATGCAGAGAATAGCCAGGAGTTCTCAAAGAAAGTCAGATGGATTTGGAGGCCATGGGAAGGAGCAGTGCAGCTTTTCAATATTTAGCTTGTTTTCTCTAGTCTCTGTGTAGCCCACAATTTTGGGGTGATTTCGTGCAGCTTGCTATTTTTTGCTCGGTGAGTAAAGGAAACATTAGTCCAGACGAGGTCCTTCGCCACAGAGAGTCTGTGCACACCTCAGCACTGGGAGCAAGGCAGTTCGTTGTGGGAATTTTTGTGATAAAGGCAGATGTGAGGTGGAGCAGTAATAGCTCTCAGCTGTGTTCAGAACTCTGTGGAACAAACCAAAATAAAATAAATCCCCAAATAAACCGAAATACTGTTAAGTGCATTTCAGGATCTTGAGCTCTGTTGTTATTATCTGGAATTATTCACCCCTAAGTGAAAGCTAGCAAATTCACCTTGCAATGTCTTCTTTAGGCAAGTTTTTGAAGGAGCATACTGTCCTTGTGTTCAAAATCTTATTTTATGCCATTCCCCCCTCCCACCCCTGATTATGCAAAAAAAAAACCACAAAAAAACAAACAAAAAACAAACAAAAACAAATGAAAACAAAGAACAAGACCATTCATGTGTAAATTTTTAATGATGGGTCTCGAAATGATGAAGAAATTGAAGTGGTGGATCAGTCAACAGTTCAAACACTCAGGCACAGTGGTTTGTAAATTCATTGCTGTGGTGTCTTCACTGAAAAACCACTTTATCAGAAACAAATTTATTGCAGTAACTGATTCACTTCCCACTACCACCTGTCTTTCTCTGTGTTTTTTTTTTTTTTATGAACAACTCTTAATCTCCACTGTTCACTAATAAAAATATTTTAATAAGAGATAATACTGTAATCCAAATGCCTATAGGTGCTTGAATCAACTATTTCTGCCTGTGTAATTGCTAACACTTTGCTCAACCCTTTTTAAAATTGCTATTAAATCTCATTCTCATTTTCTGTATTAATAGAACAAGAATTCATTTTTAGTGTACCCTCCAAGCAGTAATGAGCATTGTTAACGTGTAACAAGAATGCCCAAGGGGAAAGTTTTCAGAGCTGGCCTAACCTCAAGGCTGTGCTGTTGATGTACTACAGAATCATCAAGCCAAGAGCTCTTAGAACTAGTCCATTTAGAGAGTTCAGCTGAATATTTCTGCTTAATATATTGGAAGAATTATAAATGGTTTAGGTAGTGACCCAGGGAGAAAGGGGGTTTTTTGTTTAATACATTAAGAATAGAGGGGCAGCATTAAAAAATTAATGATACCTCCTGCTTATTTTAAAGTGTATCTAATTGTGCTTTTGTTCTGATGATTTTGCTTCCTTGCAGATTTTCATAAGAGGTTAATGAGAAAAGATTAACAAAACATGCAATATTGCACACGGGCAGGGGAGACAGAAGATAATCATTTAGTTATAAACAATCAATAGATGCTACTTTTTAATTGCTTTTTCAGAAGCCCAAATCTGCCTTCTTGAAGAAGTATTATGTATCTTTTTAAATTCGGAATATTATCCTTACTTATTATGTATAGCAAAAATAAGCCTGCCCAAAGCTGTAGTGCTTCACTGATTGCAAGTGAATGCCTTGGCTACAATAAAGCAGTCAAGGCCCTGTAGATAAAAAGTCCTTATATCCTACACAGTAATGAAACCAAGACCTCAAAAAGTGCAAGGAAAGCAATGTTATTCTCTATCACTCCTGTAATACAGTGGGTTTGAGCCTCTTAATTTTTAACCTGTGTAAAGGCCTACACAGGACTTTATCCAGTGCTTATTTGGTCTTTGCATGAATTGTCAGAAAGGTGGCTGAGGACAGAACTGTGAGGAAGAGAGGGCTTCCAGCCATTGCTCACAGACCACTGGAGGATTTGAGATGAGCAGATCCCTGGATGTGGTTTTGGGAGTATATTTAATGTTGTTCAGTTCTCATTATTCCATCTTTGGATAAAAATTCATTTGGGAAAATCTTCCCCCCTAGAAATTTCTGTGAAGCTCAGGCCCTGTATGGCCTGTGAGGAATCTTCAGTTGTCCAGATTGACTGCCATTTTTACCCTATTTTATATGGACTAGACATGTTCTGTGATATCTAATCTATAGATTAGCAGCAGGCTTGAACCTTTCTTGCTTAACGGCCATTTCACTTTCTTTTGTCTTTTTCTCATAGTTGCCTAAATTTGTTTTATCATTTTTTCACCAGGGAGCAAAAGAAAAGGAAAATCTTTCCCTAGATCTGCTCTGTCACCTCCAGATTCCCATTATGTTTGAGCTGTTCCCTAGTCATGGATCCTATTTCTTTAACAGCCATTGCACCTCTGATGTATTATATCTATAATTCATATATAATTCTGGCTTGGCTTTCTTGGAACTGCCTGCTGTAGTTCTTCCCTGGTTCACAGAGACCCAGTTCCTTTCTCCCTGCAGAATTTGGGCTTCTTTAGAAAGAATGAATGAATATGAGCGTCAACTGATAAGCACAGGCATTTGAATGTCTGACTTACTTGGGGCTGGGTTGTTTTTGATGACTTTATCTGTTGTTGATTTGCAGCTTTTTGGTTCAGACTTGCTGAGGGTAAATCAATAAATAAATTTGAGGAAAAGGCAGAAAGAGAGCAGATGAATGAATCATTGATAGGGAAAGAGGTAGAATGGGATGGACTATTGTGATTAAGAAGTATGGAAAAATAAGGATCAAGCAGTGATCCAAGTAGAGAAAAGAAATTTAAAGGATTCAAAATGAAAAGAATAGAAAGTGTGAAAAGAATAGAGTGAAAAAGAAATAAGTAGGAGCTTGGTGACTGATTACGCTTGAAAGAGCACTGGGCTACTTTTAGCTGTGTGGAAGGGCAAGGGCTGTGCAACAGCAAAAGGAAGGGTTTGTGCAGGGAATCTGGGGAGGTGCACAGAGCTGTGCAAGAGTCAGAGCCCTCCCTTCGATCAAGGGCTTTTGTGCTGTGAGCTCATGTAAGCAATGTCTCTGCACCTTTTGCACAGATTCATGCAGAAAATAATGTAATGAATTCTCACATTCCTCTTTCAAACTTGGGTTGGTATTTCTTTGTGCCCTTCCATCTTCCTTTATCATATGACATTAACTGAGAAACAACAGCAAAACAACAAAGCACTGCCAACAAGACTCCTTAGCCTTAGCTGTATTGAAGCCAGCCTGTTTTTTCACATTCAGTTCCATATTTCAGCACATTATCCCTTCTCATATGGCAGCTCAGAAGCTCTGTAGGTGCTACCCTGCAGGCAGAGGGTATCTTGCTTCGGTGTTACAAACGTACTGCCCAGCTCTAAGCACTCACACAGCACTAGCGTGGGTCCTGGAAAGGGGTGTTGGGGCTGAGCAGGAAAAATCTTTTTTATTCTATTCCTGCTATCCTGGGCTCCTGACTTGGGAATTCCTCCCTGTTCACAAAGCAGCAGCAATTGTTGCTTCTTCTACCCACCATGTTTATTTTCTCCATGTTTTATTAGGAGGTCAGGGGAGCTTCCAGGCACTTCTAGTTTGCTTTCTAACTGCTTTTGATCTCTGTCCCTTAAACTCTTCCTATAGTGCTTAGCTTTAAGCAGATGACTGCGACTGTAAGTATTGACACGTTAATAAAAAAATATGTTTTTGAAGTACCTTCCTCGTTTAGTTTTGAAGAGAAAAACATTTCCACTCTGTGTCTGCATTGCATCTATCACAGAAAGGCTTCTTAGAATTAACTGGGGCTGCTAATAGTTAATGGACAGCACTTTGCCATTGATATGTGTATATTTATGTTGACTCTAGTGGTTCCCCACAGCTCAACTGACAGTGGACTCCTAACATAATTACTAAATACAATTTTGACATTCCCTGTCCCAGACACCTTGCAGCCTGGGGGAAAACAGGGAAAACACAGAAAATAAAATAAAGAAACATGAAATGGTAACACAGAGACCATCATATCCAGCAGCATGTGTGCTTCACAGGGGTTGTTGCATATTACTGGTGGAAATGGTGTTGTGCCTGTGTTATCTCAGGAAAGGAAGGATGGTCCAGTAGCTCAGGCAAACCATGAGGATTGGCTTCTGTTCCCTGTTTTGAATCCCTGGACACACAGGGAAGCTGGGACACTTCTCACGGTGAAGTCTCTCGTTCATCCCTGGAGGAATGAGTCACAAAAGTGAAGATGACAATTCATGTCTTGAAACACACATGTGCTAGATAAAAATTGCCCATTGGAAGGAAAATGTATCATCTGCCGTAGGAGAAGTTTTGGGAAGATCATTTATTTATTCATTTATTTATTTATTTATTTATTTATTTTAGTTAGTTATTTATTGATGATGTGTCTCTTGTCTTCCTCCCCACCCCAGTTTTTTCTCATCTTTTTTTTTTTTGGTTCTGTCTTTCCAGCAGTTGTATGCTGCCCAACTTGCTGCGATGCAAGTGTCTCCGGGAGGCAAGATTCCTGGCATTCCCCAGGGGAACCTTGGTGCTGCTGTGTCCCCTACCAGCATCCACACAGACAAGAGCACAAACAGCCCTCCTCCCAAGAGCAAGGTACTGTGCCAGGCCTGGGCCTCTGGGCTGCAGGAAGCTTTGTTCCCAGGATGGCTCCCTGAAATGGGAGGGCGTTGTTGCAAAACAGCCAGGAAGAATTTAGCTAAGGAATGCAGGTAGAAAGCAGTCTTGTTTGGGTCACAGGAAGAGCTGGGTGAAAAATGTGTTCTTCCTTTTTGTTAGTGCCCTCTAGCATGCTGTCCATGTCCTTTATCATGTCAGGAAATATTCCTTGAATTGACAGTGGTGTCTTGTTTTTACCCTAACAGAAAAGCAGCACAGATTAAAAATAACCAGACGAATAAATAATACCATTGTCAGCTCAGTGCGATACATGTTCGAAGAGTGAGAGACTGGCTTGAAATCAGTAACTGCTGTGTTGATGACTCAAGCTCTAGGTTGTCTCTTCTCTCTCTCCTTGCTGTAGACTTTCTGACTACCTTTGGCTTTTCCTTGTCTTGGCCTCTTCTCTTAGAGCAAGAAATCACAAAGCTGTGCAGTACTTGATGGTAGATAGTTGGGTTTTGGGTTTTTTAAAAAGTGTTTGGTTTACCTACTTTGTGTATTTTATAAGACGGGGGGTCTTGTGTGTGGCTTGCAGCTTGTAGATCTCCCACACTTAAAATCTCAGGGTTGATTTTGTTCTCCTGTGGAGCAGGAGAGTTTCTCATGAGATCTAAGAGGCACAGTGTGTATTTTGTGGTCATTGCAGGACTCCAAGCCCTGCCATATCTGCTGGTAGCATTGAGCATAGCCATTTTTAACTGGCAGCTGTCAAGATCAGCTCTGTTCTCTCCTTTCTTTTATTGCTTTTTTATGTTTTTAGGTGTTCCAGTGCCTTTGGCTTGGAGTTCTGTAGGAGACAAACAGAACTTACTTTGCAAAGGCGGGGGGAAAAATGAACTAAAAAAGTGGGCCAAAAGGAAAGGAAGGGGGCTCCAAAAGGCTGTAAAATTGTGCAGAGTAAGTCCTGTACTGCATGCTGTTTTCAATCTGCTGTGTGCCAGTTGGAGGCTCTGAGAGAGTGCGAGAGAAAGAGAAGGGATAATGCTGAGAAATGATAGAGTGGCTGTGACCTCCACGCTCAGCCTGGAAATCCAAGACATTGATTTCACTTAGCATTCCTGCTGAGAGATCCGGTAGAGTTCAGCTGTAATAAAAGAACAAGGTTCTGTTCTAATGGTAATGGCGTATGACAGACATATCACTCTGTCTGTCCTCAGCACCAGGGAAGTGGGAGCTGCAGAGAGGGCACCTGACCTGCCTGGGCTGCTGTGCCAATGCTGCTCTGAGCTTTGAACCCTGCCTGGAAGCACAATTATTTATAATACTAAATGGTAAAGAAACCTTTATAGAGCCCACAGTAATTAGAAAAAGGCTTACACAATAGTGCAGTGGCCTGGCTCTGAAACACACTGGCAAATCCATCATAATGGCAGAAACTGAAGCTTATGTGTTGGAACTAAACACCTTCCTTGTTGTCTGTGTGGACCTTTCTTTGCTTTTTCAAAGCTTGTTTGTGTTCAACAGCTCCAAAAGTTTATTTTCTTTGCTGATTTTTCTTTATATTTAGCTTTCTTCTAACTGTCATCAGGGAATGTGTCTTGAGTTTCACAGACTTTTTTAAATTTTTTTTTTTTTAAATCCCAGTAAGCAATTTGGTCCCTGAAGTTAGTTAGTGGTGATCTTTCTCACTCTTATTGTACATCAGACCTCCACAGATGAATAGTTAATGCCTCAGAATAGCTTTCAATATATGCTGTTCACTGAATCTCTATTTTCAGCCCACAGTTTACACTGGCACAGCTTTGGTAACTTGAGTGTTTGGAGACAAGGAGACAGCCTTACCTGAGAGTGTGTCAAGCTACTGGCAAACATCTAGGTCACTTCTGAAAAGCCATGGCTTTTTCTTCTTTTTGTAGTGTTAAAGTTAGCGTGCTGCTCTTTGCAAGGATTCTTCAAAGTCAGCCTCAGCAGCAGATGGAACAACTGTTGGCTCTAGAAATGCTGAGAATCATCAGGGGGAGTTTGCCAAAGATCATCCTTTAAGTCTAGTAAGACTTGAAAATGTCCCTGAAACTCCTCTAAGACCTTGGCAACTCCTGTTTTGGCAAGGCTTTTATCAGTGGCCCTCACCAGTGTTTGAACACTGTGCTGGACAGGCTGCCCTGGCATCTCCTGCCATGCTGCTCTCCTCTCAGCAGATGTGACCTGGAATAGTCAGATTTACTTCCCAGGGCTCTGTCTTTCAGGAAGCCTTGGAGTAGAGCTGCCATTATGCTGTGCTGCACACATTCTGTCAAGTTTTGGTTAGGAAGCCGAGCTGGTGTCGTACATTCTTCCAAGAAGAAATCCATGCCAGAAAAGCTGATTTAAGAAACAGAGCTAGTGGAGGCTGTCCAAAAGAAAAACGTGTGTGTCTTGCGGAAATGGATTTTAACACAGCTTCTTCCCAAGCAGTTTTAAAAACAGCCGGTATGCTAATCATACCATTCAAATTTACCAAGGCCTCCTCCACAGCCTGCTTGAAAGGCAACTAGCTTTGAAGTTTGCCAAATTGTGCTGGATTTCCAAAGTCTGTCTTAGGCACGTTTTGCCTTTGATTGTGTAAATGCCTACGTGCTGCCCTGTTGGCTGTTCGAGGTGCTTGCAGGCTCCCAGGCAGGAGACAGCAGGCAGAGGTGCAGATAAGGACTAGGCAGAATAACGTCCCAGCCCTCCTTGTGATTCATTTCAATACTCTTGCTTGCACAGGGCCATGCACAAGATAAAATAAGGTAATGTTGGTTGTAGACACTATGTTTGTCTGAACTGTGACCTGTCCCATGCTACCAGGACTCTCACCTGATAGCTCCAGTCTTCACTTCCTTCAGATCAGGTGCTTTACACCCTTGGATGAGGACAACAACTTCACCCCCACTTGTAAATGCTCAGGGCCCTGTTCATTCCTGCCTTTGTTTCTTCTTGTTTATGTGGCATGGATAAATATAGCATCTAGTGCCTGCATGCTGCAATATCCTGGCCCCTTCCATGTAACCTTTCAAGTGCAGTAATTCTGGAGTGAATTTCCAGTGCAGCTTGTAAATGTAGCTAAACGTTCCCCCTATTTAATGGAGCACAATGTATTATCTGTAGCATCTGCTGTAAAACAGGAGCAATTCAGTGTGAAATGTGGCAGGAGAGAATTCCTGGGCATTTTTAACTTTGTTGTGGCCTCAGCCCTAACCCTACTCACAGTTGTGTCTCCCATCGATGACAAGAGCACGCAGATTGTCCAAATCAATTCTTTTTTTTGTTCTATTCAAATACTTCTGGCAGTGATGCTGCCATTTGTTCCACAGTAGCACCTGGGAGTTGTGACAAGGAAAGGAAATGTGTTTCAGACAAACCAGAAGCAGCACTAAGCAGCTGGATATACGTAATCAGTTTCTCCTCAGCTGCAATATTCAGAGAAATATTGATCTGAATGTTTAACTGAAGAGGGTGCTTTAGTTTCACGTTATCTGATCACCAAAGTGACCAATTCTGATGGAATTTTCTTCATGTCACCTATGGGCAGCAATTAAATGGCCTGTGAATGTTTTAGTGCTTGTGCAGATTGGCCTTAAGATGGCCAGAGTCTCTCCAGAAGAGCTTCTTCTACTTTTGAGGGGTGCATGCTGATGGTGCTCTAGTTGCTGCCACAAGCACCAGCTGTGTCATGCGTCCTGCTTATGGAATGTGATGGACAGAAAGGGATCAAGGTGTTCTTGTTCCATTCTCATCCAGGGAAGGTCAGGGAGCTACAGAGTCACTTCGGACTTTCTTACCAAGTCCGTGTGACACCAGGGGAAAAATTAAGAATGAGAGCCTTGGAAAGGGGCATTTTAATTCAGACACACCATAAGCTATGTTACAAGGAAAGGTAAGTGAGCTGTGGGGAGCTGGCTGTAGATTTTCCTGTCCCAGGCAAAACTGATGATGGAACTACCTGGTTTTGGTACTAAAGCTTTCTTTATAAAAATGTAGTGGAAAAAAGAAAAATAAGACATCTGAAGGAAAGAAGAAAAAGGCCCTAAAACAGTTAAAAGGTCCTTAAAACTCATTGATATGATATTTCTGATTCTACTCCAGGCAAATTGTTAACTTGAACTTCGTTTTTGATGACTACCCTCAGCAGGCCTATGAAGTTGGGTGCATTTGTCTCCCTTTCTCTCATCTCTCCCTTTCATATGATGGTGCAGAATGTGGAATTTAATCCAGGGGAGATCTTGGGGGAAACATTAGTCCCCATTATGTGCACAGCTGCATCACTCACTTGCCACATGACTGTGACTGGCAGAAGCCTGGCTGAAAAGTGGACATACAGACTCCTTGTACCCTCAGAGCTGCTATTTGTAAACATGCTAAGGGAAAGCATCTAATTTAAATTAAAATTATAAAATTGCTGTGTACAGGTGATCAAAGGGCATGATTGTGTTGGAATGGGACAAATTCTTATCTCTGAAGAGCAGAGAAGAGGAACCTGTCTGAAACTCACCCATGGCACATGTTAGGCCCCATGTAATGATGGCAGTTCGTGTCCTGTTTAATGGCTGGAGAGCTCAGCACCTGCTGAATGCCTGTCCAAGCAACAGGAAATTAAGGCATCCTTATTTTCATTAGCGTACTGAGGTATTTTAGAACGAAGGACAGCAGTTCTCATTAAAGTGATGCAAGACACAGCATCCCTGATAAAACACTGGGGCTATATTTACAGAAGTTTTATCTCGAGCATTTGCAAACTCTTCTATTTTTGAGAGTTTCCAAGCTGGACACAATTCTTCATATGCCACTGATTAAAAAAAAAAAAAAAATCCTTGCTAAATTAATCTATTAATCTTTTCAGCACCGGAATAACAATTAGCACTAGAATATTGTACATCAGTACATCCAAAACATTTTTCAGTGATTGCATTTCCTAATCCCCTTGCCAGAACATCAGATAGATCAGAAATAGCTGTAAGATAATCAAGGAAAAGTTTACCATACAGATGCAGTGATGAGTAGGGAGCTGTAAATTGAGACCTCATCTGTGCTATACTCTTTCTTCAGTCTCCTTATCCATTCTTGTAGTTAATAATTTTTACCTAGGAGCCTTTCTCATTTGCTGCCAATGCTTTTGACCCTAAATAGTAAAATGGGGAGTTGGTGACAGAATCTTTGAAGTTGTTTTCCTCTTCCTTGCTCTTCTGCCTGTATATGACATGCTAGCATATAAACAATGACTTTTTAAACCATTTGCTGGAGCACAGTGAAATGATGAGTATTAATGGACCTTCTTAAGGTGCTTTTCTAAAATAGCAAATGAGTTCCAAACAATAAAAGCAATCTTAATAGTAGTATCTAAACAACAGCAGCAGTAGGGCCTTGCGCAGCATTCTGCCTGCCTAGCAGCCCTCCTTACTTTTCTAAAAATAAATTAGATATGTGGAGGGGCTCCTAGGATGCTTTTTCAGATGAGCTGTCCACCGCTCTTCTTTGCTGATACTGTGTCTCTCTGGCACAAGCATGCCTCACCAGCAGAGCTGCCAGGCAATTAAACCTTGTCAGGCTCAGTTGGCACCTCTTACAGTGAAAACTCAGAAGAAAATAAAATAAAAAAGGGGGGAAAGCCCTCCAAAACCTCCGAGGGCAAAACAAGAGTGAGATACACAAGTATCAAGCAAGACTGCTTTATTCCTGAGAGAGAGGTCCTCAGAAACCAGAGAGGAGCAGCAGAGGTGTAAAGCAAAGTGGTAAAAAACATTCACTATGTTCTCTGCTGTTCTTTGCTGTTAATGCCTTCTGAACCTGATGTAAATAAATAAAATTGGTGGGGTTGGCAGCAGGCATTAGCTCTCATTAGTTTTGTGTAGATGATCCCCATTCAAACTGAACACCAAGAAATTCCAGCAGGCACTGGAGGTTGTTTCCAGAAACCCTCAGTGCTCAGGGGTGCTGGGATCTGGCATTGGGTTTCTGCTCAGTGTCTTACCTGTTACTTAGAAATACCTGAGCATTAACTTCTCAGGAGCTTTTTTTGACAGAACCACCCTTCTTCTGTCAGTTGGAATAAAGAGCTTGGATGAGAAAGAGCAAGAAGAGACTGGATTAGTCACAAATAAGAAAACAGTGTCACAAAGCCAAGGGTTTTTAATGCCACTGAGAGAGCTGTTGAGCTGCTGGTGCCAGTTGTCCACAAAGTCCTAAAAACAGCAGTAAAAGGGCTTTAGGAGAGCATGCAATCTGGAGCTGCATAATGCAACAGAGAAAAAAAATTGAATTTGCTGGTTGCAGTGGTTTTTGCTGATACTTCTTTCAGTTGGGTGGCCTTGGTCTGTGGGAGGAAGAGTTAAAAAATATTTAGCAGAAGGTCTTTATGCTGAAGAAGGGGAACCAGCCATGAGGAGAAATACATAAAGTTCATTCTTCACTGTGCAGCAGCGCTGAAAAGATGGGGAGCCAATATTAGCTGTAAGTTAAATATAGATAACAAACCAGGGAGTTATGCGAATATCAGATTAATGTATAGTTTCCTTCAGAATGTGAAATTCTTATTAAAGGTAGTCCTTTATTCCAGAGACTTGTTTTTTCAGACTCTGGGCTATTAAGAGTCCCTGAATCAAGGGATGTGTTTATTCCAGGAGCACAGGCTTGTGCAGGTGATGGCAGTGTAGCAATGTACCCGTCCCATGGATTAGGAGGAAGCTGGAAACAAAGCAGAGAACTCTCACTCTCCGAGAGACTTCCAGAAAGGAACCGGGCCCTTCCCATCAGGAATTAAACCTTCCCTTTTGCAGCTTCAGATCAAGTGTTTGAGCGTTTCACTGTGTGTGTCAGTAGCCAGAAGAAAAGTGCAGAGGCTGTATTGGCAGCCTGGGTAGTGAACAGCAGCAGAGCCACCTCTTACCAAATGCACAACTACTTTTCAACACAGGAAGGAAATGTCTGAGGTGATAGAATGAAGTTCCAGTGTGATCAGTCTGACAGCCCCCAGAAACTGCTTGTTTTGTCTGCAGAAGGTGGTTTGTATCCATGCTACATGCTGGATTTGAAATTAGCTCCTCTTGACATGTTCTGACAGAATGCAATTCAAAGGAAGCAGCAGAGAAATACCTTTTGCAGTAAGGATTCCTGTACCCGCAGCTAAATGATAATCACGTAACAAGGGAGCTACAAAAATATTTTAATCTGAAACATTTTAATCTCTAATCCCTGGTAGCTGTGGGTATCTGAAGAGAAGCAAAATTTAGTAGCAGAGTGGAAAAATCTGTTTTATTTTCAAATTCAACAAGTCAGTTTCTTTTAGATTAGTATTAACTTTAGATTTATATGAAGTGCTTGGCAACTGTTTCTCTCAGGTTTCTCAGAACTACATATTTTTTGTACAGAATGCAGTTTGAACTGTTCAGTGTAAAATGAGCTGTTGCAAAAGAGGGACTCAAACATTATGTGGAAAGCATCACTTTAGAGTACACATATTTTTCAAAGCAGTGTGGCTACCTGTTTTGATTTCATAATGTAGCTTTCTTAAGGTCCAAGGTCCTGAAGTCTTGTGAGTATGTAAGAATCTCATTTAAAAAAAAAATCTCACGTTGTCATGCCTGAAACTTGAAGATTGATATAAATGTGTCTCAAAGGCTTAGAGAGCAGCTAAGGAAATTAATCTATGAGTTACTTTTTTATTAAAGTGGGATTAATTTTCGGTTTCAAATGATAGATTTCATCTTGACAATTCTGCTAAAACATAAATACCTCACAGCAGAATTAGACTTTCTAGTAGAATCTCCCAGTAAAAGTGTTTCAGTAGTGTCCAGAGAGAAAATTCAGGAGTATCTGAAGAACATCAGAAGCGGACAAGCTGATGAGACAGGCTCTAACGTATGAAACTGGTTTAAAATTTCACTCTTGATCACATGTCCTTATCCATTGATACTGTCAGACTGTGAATTCCAATGTGTACGTTTTGTGCTAATGAATGAGTTTAGTTTCTGTTTGTTTCATTTCAAGTTGCTACATTTTTCCTTGCTGCTTTTGAAGAAAAGATAAGCTATTGCCAGAACTGGTAAAAAAAAAAAAAATATTAGGAAAACAGTAAAAGTGTTTGATAAAAGATTTCTGAGTATCTTGGCAGTGGAGTGCATGGAGAAAAAAATCATGTCTCTGATGGGAGCAGCGCAGAGGAAGTTTTTCAGTTTTGAATCATGATGTTACAGAAATATTTTAACTTAGAGGTATTTCATAAGTTATTAGTGTTCCTCCAAGTTTCCTAGTGGCTGTGCCAGCACCTGCTGATGTGTTGGAAGGCTGTGTGTGTGTGTGTGTGTGTGGAGATGGAGCCCAGGAGTCTGTCCTGGGCTCTCTCTCTCAGCTGACGTGCTGGACAGTGACAGCTCATGTCAGGATCAGCCACGCTAGTTATGTGAGTCCCAACCCAGCAGGAGCTGCTTGTTGACAAACACAGCCCAGCCTGATGTCCTCATGGGAGAATGGGCACGGAAAGCTCTCCAGAGCTGGGTGCATTTATTCATCTCCAGAGAAAGCTGTGAAGCAGTGTACCACAAAAGGAAGTAATGCAGTGGCAGGCTTAGTAAAGCAGCTTTAATTCAGAGTACAATTAGGGAGAAAACAGATGTATGTAGCAATTCTGAAGAGCATTTTTGTTGTGTGGGTTCTTATGAATTTCTTTCTTTCCAAAGGTAGCTCTCTCTCAGGGGGAGCAGTCATTCCAGGTCACTGATTATTTTTATCTTTAGCCATGCTGAAAGCTGTATAGGCTTCAGGTTACAGCTGTAAGTTAATATATTTTGAATTTAGCTTGTTGGTTGCCTTGGTCAATCTTGAGTTCTGCTAATCTAAACTCCTGGCTTTTTTCTGTCTTGCTTGCAGATCAGAATGACCCCTTTTTGCCTTATTTCTAATACTCTTAGTCTTCTCTAAAATTATCTTCTTTCCCTTTCTGGGTACTCTCCTCCTAATTTCAAATGTCTACAGAAAATAGAATCTGCAATTAATTAATTGAAATTAATTAATTTATCTCTATTTGCTTATTATTTGTTATGAATAAGTGAATAGTCTGCCTTCAACATTTTCTGTAAAGGCACAGACCAAACTTGGGGTCAGGAAAATTCAGCGCATACATACACACAGACCTTGTGCACACTCACACACACACTAAAGCTGAGGTTAAAAAAAGTCTCACATTTGGTCAGCTCTCAGCAGTTTCAGCGGGGTGACATCAGCAATCCCAAATTGATGTGGTATGTCCTGCTACTGCCTTTCCTGTGCCGCTGTTCCTCACCCCCAAACGATGGTGGCTCAGTGCTGGCTGGAAGGATTCCCATGGTGGTATCTTTTGGGACTCACTTTGTAAATCCCTTTGGGCTCAAGCAGAGCAAAATAATGCTGTATAAATACATGTTATTACTGGTGACGAGATAAAATTATCTAATGCTTACCAAGTGCCCCAGTGTCTTGTCTTGGTGATAATTAACTGGTGACATACACATTGAGTCAGTGCTTTAGGATTTATGCCCAGAATAAGTCACAGTAACATAGCAGCTTTAGCATAGGAGAAAAAGGCAAAGGGGTTTTTTTTTTCCCTTTTTTTTTTTTTTTTTTTTGGCTAAGATATGAAAACTGCCCATGGCTGGCCCTGTTCAGAAAAAGCGAATCAGTCTCTTAGAATTCTTTTTTTAAAGATGTCAACTCCCTCTCATACACTTCTCTGAAGACAAAGAATGTCTTTACATCTGTATTGAAGTCATCACTGAAATAAAAGGAGATCTGTAGACATCAGCTATAAATCATTACGAAATAGCTTGTGGGTAACCTTTGACACAGTTGAACCTACTTGACATGAGCTTGAGCTGAATTCACTGCCTTCAGTGAGGCCAGCAGGTGGACTGGAGGTCTCTTCTCTCTCTCTGTTTCTCTTTCCATCTCTTACAGTGTCAGCTTCTGGGAGGTGAAAGTGCTCTGGCTGAATGACAGAAACACATTTGGATGTGTTCTTAAATAGGCATTTGTTTTATGCCTGAAAATAATAGGTTGGTCTTAATAGTGTGGTACTGGGGGATTTTAAAGGTATTTTGTGAAGCAGTTGTCAGCATTACAAAAACTATTTTAACCAATTGTTTAAGCTTGACGAACAGCATGGAGTACCTATTGTGTGTGGTTGCATGCGTGTTCTCCAGAATTAACAGGGAAGGGGTAGATAAAAATCTGCCTAATTTTGCATAATAGAATTTTAGCTTTCCTGTGATCTGACTTCAAATTCCTGCTGAGTTTCTACAGTGTAACAAAAATACTAGTTTGCTGTTGTTAATTTTAATTTCTAAGATGCAAGGTTTTAAAAGGAGCTGAAAGTATTCAGCATCTCATAGGGACAAACTATGAGTCTTACTAATGAATCCAGCAATTAGTGGTTCATTTTGCCTACCAGCAATTTGGCCCCAATACTGGTCCTGATGGTGATTTCATTTCTGCTAGTGTGAATCAGGAATAGGATCTGAAGTCTGTCCACCAAGGGGGGGCTGAATACTTCTTCAGCACTCTTCTGCTTCTATTCTGTATTCAGCAGCAAATAGTAATAAACATAGGTAGGGACAATTTGAGTGGATATAGATATAGATAGAAATATATAACATCAAGAGTAGTTCCTAAACTTAAAGGGTTGCAAATGGTGGTGTTGCCATGCACTTTCATAAACATGTCTGATGTGTGCCCAGTTTGCATAGAATAAATCCTCCATAGGTGAAAGGTTGTCTTGTCTCCAGTTTCGTGAGAGTTGAGACAAAGGGGTGACCCTTTGCTTTCTGTATTCGTGCGCTTCTGTGCAGATCACTAGAATTGATATTTGGCAATATTTTGTGGTAACTTCACAAACATGTTAGTGGCCATGTACAGAAGGTTAGATAAGGAGTGGCTCACTCAAATTCACAGAGAACATTTGTTGTCAAGTCAGGAACTGAACCTGAGTCTCTCTGGCATGACCTAAAGGGTCAGCAATTGAAAAAAGGCATGGCTGCAACTCCTAGCCATTCCCAATAGATGTTCTCTCAAGTGGTTGACCCCTCATATGGGATCATGGATGGGGTACAAATATTAAACAAATTCTTCTGTGAGTGCAGTATTTACTGAAGGAGCATGTGTTGGCTTGCAACATTCCCTACAGTACCTTAAACTCCCCCCAGTTTCTGCAGCTGCTGATTAGGTTTCATCTTGCTGCTAAAAGGAGATGAAACATAAAGAGACCTGGAAGGATCAAGTGTAAAATCATTTTGATTTTAGTGATCTGTTATGTTTTTAATAGCATGCAAATGTTAAAGACAAATGAGCTTTGTATTGATAGTTTTCCTTTGACAAGCTATTAGTTGGAAAAACAAATTGTCAGGCAGGTCATATCTACAGTTGCAAAACATAGCTTGATGTTTTTGTTGCAATTGTGTGTATCTGTACATAAATACAATGTGTTCTCTTTGCACTACATATTTGTAGGGCTGTACTTGCTGTCTCTCTTAGTGAAAAATCTACCTAGGCTGTATAGAGATAACCAAAGTCAGAGAAAGCACAGGTGTTTTTTGAAAAGGAATTTCTTAGCCCCCTGCCAGTTGTCCAAGCTGTTTGAAATCTCTTTTCTTTCAAGGTCTTTGGACTTGTTTCTTCTAAAGTTTTTAACAGCTGGGTTTTTTTTTTTTTTTTTTTTTTTGTTTTTTTTTTGGGTGGGGGAGGAGTTGGTTTTGTTTTGTCTTTTTTCCCCCTGAATCTTAGCAACTGTGAGCATCTCTGCCTGTCCTGCCTGACAACAGCAGGATGAAGGGTCTGTTGCTAATTTGTTTTGATATGGTTCTCTTTGGTCTGTATTCTTTTTGAAATTAATTCCTTTTGCAGGTGTGGGGTTAGAGGTGGTGGTGTGCCCCCAGCGAAAGTGTCATCCACCACAGAGAGGAGGGGAGGCTTTGATCAGTGTAGCTTCTGTTTTCTTGTTGTTCCTTTAAAATGTACCAGTTTGTAATGCTGTTTGGCTTTGCAGGTCCTTGTTTTATTTCCTTCCAAGTCTTTCCCCATCCTTTCAGGTTTGTAGTTTTTATTGCTGTTCATTCTGCGTAACATTTACTGGGGATTATTCCTCGGAAGGTGGTGACTTGAGGTTCAGTTTAGGCAGCAACAAAATCCAATCCAATGTCTATTTCCACTTTTTAAACAGCCTTATTCTAGGTGGAAGAGGGAATTAATAAGGACACAACTCCACATGTTCAACCTTCTGGGTTTCATTGGGACAGACTTACGCAGAAAGGATTTAAAAATGCAAAACTAACTGGGGCACAGACCACTACAGTTTCTACCCAGGACAACTTCGGGAATAGACAACCACAGATCAAACTGTCTGACCTCTGTCTACTTTCTTTGCAACTTGTTTTGAAGAAGCTGGACATTTTGGGAGGTTCAGTACAGTATCAAAGGAACTCCCAAACACTGCTCTGATGAAGAGTGGCCCTGCTCTTCCTTCTGACTCAGCTGTTGACTCACGGTGTGAGATTAGACAAATCATTTAGCCGCTTTGTGCCTTATTCTTCCCAGTTGTAAAATAAGGCAAAAGCTTTCAGAGTAATTATGAGCTCCAATTAATTAATATTTCCTATGATACACTGGAGAAATTTTTTTTTTTTTCCCCTCTTGTACTTTACTGGTTGCCATGTATTTCAGTGGGGGCAGTTTGGGAGAAGTAGTCTTCATAGGAAGAATATTTTCCCTTCCTTTGCGCCATGATTTTGTGATCCTCTCTAAGGATTTTTACCCCATGTGATGTGATTTTCATGGTTAAAATTGTGAAAACCAGGTTGTCATCTTCCCCTGCAGATTTGCAGTGTCTGCATCAGTCCTGCTGACCTGTGCCTAAATCATTCCTCCAGCTTAGCCTCTGACCTAAGCACTTCATTAATGACATTGTATCAAATAAACAGGTGGAGCAGTGATGTGAGAAATTCAGCTGAACAACAGTTAGATGCAAAATGCTAACAGCAGGACCCAGGTTTGGCATGAGGCACAGACAAGGAGAATCCCAAGTGATTAGTCTTTCTGCCCTGCCTCAAGTTTTATCTTTGCTCAACATGGACCCTTCTAATTTCAGGACCAACCCAGCAAGATTTGCTCAGAAGCAGTTTCACTGAGCGTTTTCTGTATATGAGGCTGCTGAGTTAAATTTTCACTCACTCTAGAGATGCATAACGGGAAGGAGGTTTTCCATTATGAGATGCAAGTAAATGCTTAAAGCTCTTCATTCCTACAGTACTGAAAACCTTAGTGGGTCCTCTCAGCCATGTGGTGAGCAGCTCTCACTTCTGCTGGTTCCAGTCAAACAGAAGAGCAAATGCTCAATTAGAAGAATAATGGTGATAGGACTAAGTAATTTAGCTGGATTGGGAAAAGCATCCATAAGTCATCAGCCTTCCCTAGAGGATGGTGTGACTGAAAACTCGTGTTCAAGGAAAATGAGCCTAGAACTCTCATACTGGCTGCTTTCCTCAAACACATTGTGCCATTTGTCTGTGGAGATTACTAGCAGGGTTCACAAGGATGGTTGGGCATTTTGACAGCCCAAAGGCAGCCAGAAGCTGCAAGTGTGGTTTGGAGGATATGTCTCTGAAGATTTGTGAAACTAAACAAATAATTTTTGGTAAACACATACCAGGCTGTTCATTCTGCTCAGCTGCATCTTCTGGTCTATTCTCTTGGCCAAGCAGCCTTGTGCTCCCTCCACAGGACCCCAAAGGGCAAGGTCCAAGTGCAGTCTTTCCTGAAGACCTTTAAAGAGTTGCTTCTGTGTGCAGAGGTCTGACCAGATGCTGCACAAAAGGAAGGCCTTTACCCCAGGTCATCTCTGGATAGACTTTGAAGAGCAGTTCTGTAGTTTTCTCCCTAGACACTGCTTTTAGGCTGCCCTGCAACTGAAACATCCCACTCTTCGATGTCTGGGACAGCAGAAGGACTAAAGTGATCCTGGAATTTTGTGGTTTCTTCTCTGTTATTTGAGCCGCTGTGTTCTGTGCCTGACAGGACAGGTACTGTAGAGTGAGTGCTGTGCCATGCAAAGCTGTGGGCTGAGAAGGAGTCTTCCATCTCATAAACAGGTCATCTTGCATGCTCCTCTTTAGTTCCTTCTATATCTGTTTGGGAGTTCTGCATACAGCTTTGGGAAACAGCACTACTAAATACAAAGTGAAAACCACCCAGCAGCCCTCTGGTTTTTACTGTGACAACATGCAGAGCAGACAGAATCAGAGCTTGGGCTTTTCAGGGCAGCAAATTAGTCTTTATGGTGGCTGACTTAATTCCTGAAAACTACACTTCCTGTAAAGAAAAAGGAAAGAGGAAGATGTTAGGGATCTCTCTGAGAGGAAGAAACCCTCTCTGTCCCAGGTGCTACAAAACAGAGTCACTTACGTTCCTGCACCACTTTTCTCCATGAACAAGAATGGAGACTGTGCAATAATCCTCCTGGTGTATAAATCACCCTTTGGGAGTAATTTATTCGTTGAGTAGTTCCTTATATGCAGAGCAGAGAACAAAAAGAGTATTTGTCACAAGTGTAAGGCAGCTCAGTTACCCCCTTTGTTTTGTGTCCCATGAATAAGAGTATTTGGGCAGTGTCAGTGAAGTACTAACTTGGGTTGGATAACATGCCCCGAGTCCAGAAAGTACCTGTCTCCTGGGGGAAGCTACTTGAGGAAAAAGTACTAATTAAAGCAACAACATTAAAAAAAAAACCCAAAAAACAAACAAACAAAAAAACCCCAAAACAACACCATTAAAAAAAGAAGCTGCTCTGGGTATAGAAGAAAATCCAGGCAGAGATCTTTCTGCTCCATCACAGAAGTAAAGGTTTGTGCAGAATCAGAAGGAAAAAACACCATTGTTCCTCATACCTGCCCTCATCCTTCTCTTCAGTGCCTTCTCCTTTCTAACCACAGTCTAGTCATGCCTTCTGCTTTTGGTGCTGAAACCTGTGGGCAAGATTGCAATGAAGTGACTTCTCTGAACCTGAAGAATAATTCTGTTGGGTTTATTACAGTATCATAACCAAGATGCCTCGTTTTATGTCTTGTATGTGTTTTTCTACATGGTTAAATTTCCACCTTTGCAGGAAGGGACACATTATTCTTAATCAAAACTTGAGAATGTGGCAGGAGGAGGTACAGCTGCAGATGAGCATTATCTAATTCACCCATCCTGTCATGTGAACATCCCTGCTTAATTTAATACAATTATTTCATCAGTGAGGATAATATCAGCAGCATGATTCATTTATACAACATGTTTCACAACTGCCTTTACTTCTTGGCTTCTTATTATCACTACGGATAATTTCACCCATGAGTGGCTTCAGGAGAAGGGGAGAGGATGTGAAGGAAGCTGCCAGTGTCTTTGTATGAGTGTGTGGACAACTGTAGTCTTGAGGCACACTGATTCCAGAGGATTTTCTTTGCATCTCTGCTGTTGTACCTCGGTTCCTTTTTTCAGTTAGACATTTTTGGATAAGCAGGAGTCTGGATAAGCCACTGAGTGGCTGCATTGTTCAGTGGGCAACAATAGCATCATTGTCTTCTGCCCCAGACATGGCAGTAAGTGCTCCATATTTTGCATTTCTATTGAAATTAAGATCTCCAGGAAACAGAACCAGGGTGGGGGAATGAGGCTTTGTTTCTGTTGAGGTGGCAGAGGCAATCTTGTAGAAATCCCCCTCCCTGTTTTCTTATTTCTAACTCATTTGGCTGTAATTTGTACTGTCAAGGTCATTTAAATAGGCAGCAAGACGCGGTGAATGTGTTCCCAGAGGTCATGAAAAGCCTCTTTAGCAGAGCAGGCTGGGCTGTGCTTAAGCCAGGTCATTTAAGCACACTTGTATTGCCAGTCAGATGATACCCAGAGCAGTTCATGATTTTGTAATAAACCTTGCAACCTGGACTTCCAGCATGTGCCACAGTGGGATCCAGCACTCAGGTGTAAATGACAGTACAATAATTCAGTAACTATATTTTAACAGTGCATTAACTTTAAAATATGTGCAAAGGAGTGAGATTATCAAATCCTAATGAATTGTCTGTGTTCTTCACCACCAGCCTCATCCCCCCTTTCTCATTCTCTGAGACTGGTTCATTCATGTGGGCTATCAGTCTTTTATTCAGCTCTTGTGGTTTAAATAGTGCCATTTTTAATAAATGGTTTAGAGAGTTTCTTCAAATCAGATTTTATCCCCTTCTTTTCCCATATCTATTCTCCATAGAGATGAATTAACCTTTTATCCTAGGAGGAAGTAAATAGAAACAACATGATGGAAAGATTAGAAAAGACATCATTTCAGCCAACTATTTCAATGCTGGTGACTGCGAGTCAGAATTCCTGGGTCTGTCTGAAGCTCTGCCAAATCCCTTCCTTTTCCCTCTCTTTCAGTTTTCCTCCCATGTTAATAAGCACTTTGTGTTAACCTATAGTATTTTACCCTTCCAAAGGACCATGCAAACCTTATAAAAGCAGTGTGATCCGCACTCAACTTGCCACCAGCATTTCTGTTTGTGTGGCATGTCAGACCTTTGAGATTTTCTGTGTCTGAAGTTTAAAGTGTGACAGCTTGGAGTTAAACTAATCCAGGTTGAATGAAGCTACAAAAATACAGTTCTTGAATATTATATTTACCCTCCAAATTCTGGTGTAGGTGGAAGGATCTTTCTCTCCTCAAATACAACCTGGGAAAAAAACTAGAGGAAATCAAGGATTTAAAGTTCCCTGAATTCATTTTTTGGTTAATGAATCTTCCAGTCCTGGGAAGCAAATCAGTTCTTCGTAAAGTAGCAACTGTTGTGACACAGCTGTAATACAGGGGAGGAGAATCTCTTTGCCAATGCTTTTCTTTCTGTGGGTACATTTTATTAGCCCCTCTTCCTGTGTTGTCTTTGCTTATGCTTTATTCTCTACATTTATTTTGTGTGTATGTGTATTGTGTTTTGTAAGACAAATGTGCTACTTTTAAAGAGGCATTTCATAACCTTTAATCAAAATCATATTTTATTTTCATAATCTGTGTTTATATTATTACAAGCCTTTTGGGTATTAATGTCTTCTAGTCTCAGCATTAATGTTTTGGCTGATATATAAATAAATGTTTGACTTTAACTCTTTAAAAAATCCTGGCTTTGGGAAAAAACCCACCTTATCAATGTCATCTTAGAATAGCTGTATTTCAGAAAAAGGCAGGGACCTATGAATGCTTTCTCTAATAAAACTGAGTGCAGGGAGTAATTCTAGATTCTGCATAGATCCACTGCATAAAATCAAATCCCCTGGCTTTTGAAAGATACCATCTACCTGAAGTGAAGATGCTACATGTGGACTTTATCTTTTATGTCTCTTACTTGCCCAAGCAGTCTGGCATAATTGGGAAAATTCTGTTAATCTGTAATGTGGCAGAATGTTAGCTGAGAGATTTTATAGTTAAAGGTAGACTAGCATCTAATTCTTATTGGGGTTACACAGGCGCAGATCAATAATGAAGACAGTACAGTTCTTGATTTAAGCTGGAAGAGCAGAGGATTCTGAATTTATGGCTGCAGAAAGGGAAAAGTGTAAAATGTTTCACTGACTAGGAGTGAAGATCCTAACAGTCATCTTCACACTTAACACAATTGTATATTATTACTTGTCCTCCAGATATATTTTAGAGTCCTTTGAAATAAATCGAACTATTGTAAAGGAAATTACTGAAGTTATTACCAAATCGTGATGCAATGTAAGATTTTTAATGCATTTGACTTCCAGCGAGGATTTGAGAATGCTCTTTGAAATAAAAATTAAGTAAAAATGTTATGAAGACCAAACAGTGAAGCAGTACCATTTTGTAAATATATATAATAGCTGAAAATTGTTTACTTATCCTTCTTTATGAGAACCAAGCTTCTGTGACCTCCAATTAATTTACCATTAGCCTGAACACACAATGAAAGTGAATGAAGGGGCAATTTGGAATGACATTTATCAGCTCTGGAGCTGTCAACTTGTATTATTTCCACAAGCCCTTCTATTTCTTGGCTTCAGAGAGGGCTGTGCTGACTTGAATGAAGAGGAGCATTCTTACTACCAAAAATAGTTGCAACACAAGCAGCCTCATTGCTTGATGCCTACAATGGGGAAAAAACACCTCCTCTCTTTCTAACTTGCATTAAACGAGATCAGAACCGCCCTTGTATAGTGGACTTGGACAGGACCTTGCCTTCACACCAGGTTAAGAAAAAGAGAACAGAAGAGCTGAGAAAAGGGAGAAGAAGCAAGAGGAGGGAAGGAAATAAGCTTTTAGGCAAAAGGACAAGACTGAAAAAACCTTTCAGGATGGGGATGTAGGTTGGAACCCACACTGCCTTTGCAGTGGGTGAGAACCATTCCCATCAGGATTAGCTGCTGCTCCTCCTGAGCTGGTGCTGCTCTCAGTCAGATTTCTTCTGGGCAGAGAGCACATTGCAGCTTTCTGCACCATATCTGACAGGGATCAGCCCCTTTTGGTGAGACTTACCGCAGAGGTCAAGAATCCAATGTACATGGAAACCAAAGCCTCTTGGACTGAGCTGAAACAAGTCTGTGGGCAGGCTTGCTTTGCTTCTCAGGCTGTCTTCCAGATAAATACATGGCTTTGCTATTTAGGGATCCTTGTCTGGCGCAGGGTTGCTGTGTTTGTTTGGTTTGTTTGCTCATTTGTACTTAAAACATTTACACAACTACCTCAGTACTGATTTCACAACATTATAGTTGGACTGTTGTGAGACTTCTTTATTTTTTTATTGAAATCAGGGGAGCAACAAAGCAAGTCCCCTTCCATTTGGCTGATATTTTATTTTATTCTAATTTTATTTTGTATTCTAATACAATGGATTTGTATTTCTGTAAAGTAACAAATCCCTTCTAAAAATATTGAATATCAGTTTTACTGGTGACATTTTTAACCCTGCAGCCTAAATCTCCTAGATCAACAGAACTCTGCCATCTAGGTACCTAATTCACTTCTGAGAGTATAGTATGTAGGCTCCTAAGGCAATTCTATGTACTGATTTTTTTTTTTCCTATTTATTTTATGTACAAGTTGCCTCTAGGATGGCTTCAGCATCACTTTAAGGATGACAGCTTTGTCCACTATGCCTCTGATAATGTTTATCTGCTATGACTGTCACAAAATTGTGTAGAAATATAACCAAATGTAGAAATATAATCCAATATAACAAAGGTGCTTTTCTCAGAGGCAATGGAAAAGTTGCATGACAGTGCTTTGCAGAATTGTCTTTATGTTTGGAGACATCTACATAATACTTCCACGAGCAATAGGCAGCTGTAAAATTTCTTCTTTCCTGCAGCACACCCCCTGTGTGGAAAGGAATCACTGTTACATGATAGTTACAGAGACTTTGATGGTAGCAGTAAAACACTCAAACACAAAAAACAAACAAACAAAAAAACACAAACCAAAACCGAAAAGCTGAGTGTAATCTCACTCAGCTTTGCATTGTTGTAAGTAAGTCAGGAATAATACTATAAAACTAAACGTACTTACAATTTAGGGAGACCAGAATAAGTTTCTTCAGTGCCTAGAGCTAGAACCCAGTTGTCTGATGGAGCACGTCTCTGAGCTAAAGGATGACTTTCCTAAGTCACAGTGTCAGGCAAGAGCCAAGCTATTATGTGATGATTTGATCTAATATCACATCCATTAGTTCTGCTTATTTAAAGTCAGTTAAAATCACTTCTAAAATGTTCCCCTTGTTGAAAATCTTTTTTTCCCTTCTCTGTTAGGTCTTTTTTTTTTCCTTTTTTCTTAATGTATTTTAATTTGGTTGAACAAAAATACATTACGTGGCATTTTAATGTTTTTATAGCACTGTCTGTCACTCTTGTCTGCAATCAAGCTAGGTTTTGGAATAATTCCATTACCTTGCAAAGATGTCACCCAATCTTTCTATTTTCACATAATAATAATAATTGTTGTAATCTAGAAGTTCAGCTTTTCAACAGATAAAACATCTAGGGGCGTGTGCAAAATTACCCAGGTTATTGTCTCAGGTTTTGTTAGGGTGGAAGAGAAGTATTTATTTCCTATGGTGTTTTTGTGTTTGGGATTCTAAGTCTGGGAGGTTCAGGGGAAAATACAAGTTAAAACAAAAGCTAAAGAAAAGGCACCCAAAAAAACCCCAAACAAAAACCCAAAAAACATTTAAAAAAACCCCAAATGAACCCCCATTCACTTGTTTGCCCAGCTTGGCTTGTGGTGGTTGAATGTTAAGTGAAGGTGGTCTTCAGTTTTTAATTCATTAATGAATATAAGATTCAAAATAAAATATAACTGTAAAATTGCTCTTTATTTTCATGATAGAGGCAAATGTCTTGTTGATGGGAATAATTTCTTCAGAGACAGTGCAAATGGATGATGTTCTCTGATCATGTCACACTAATTTTCCAGTTTATCAGTCATTTCAGTTCCAAACTAGAGTGACAAGGTGGTATCACATTTGATCTTCGTGTACGTAATACAAGCTCTCAGGTTTAGGAGTTCATGAGAGCTGAAGCCACTGCCTTCGCTCGGGCAGAGCTGTGCCAGTAGCACTGTGGTAACATTCTTTTCTCCTCTGCTTTCACAGGATGAAGTGGCCCAGCCTCTGAACCTTTCAGCCAAGCCCAAGACATCTGATGGCAAATCTCCCACATCACCCACCTCTCCTCACATGCCAGCTCTGAGAATAAACAGTGGGGCCAGTTCACTAAAGTCCTCCGTGCCAGCAACATTAGCGAGTCCTTCGGCCAGAGCCAATGCAATAGGTGAGCTCAGCCCTGTGTATGTGTCCCACTCAGTGCTGTGTCTCCCACTCACCCTGTGTGGGTGTCCCACTCACAACAAGGGGTAGGTCCTGTTGGGAAGGAGTTTTTATCAGCCACTGCCAGGCAGTGGGTCAAGAGCTGGCCCAGGGGGACCATCATGCTTCAGTTGGTTGGTGTGGGTGAAGCAACTCACAGAGACTTTCTTTTCAGGAGGGGTATCTTAACTTTTACAGAGTGAGAAAGCAAAGTCCTGTGTTATTTCAGATGCTGCTTTAACTTCTGATAAATGCTGTTTTTTATAGGCATACATTAAAGACAGTGACCTGCTAATGATGGGTATTGGAGACCCATGATATTGTCCTATGTCATCTAAAAGTGGTGGATGAACTTTCAGAAACACCTCTTTAAGTTAAAAGTCTACATCTTTCCAAAATTACAAGTTTAATCCTTAGCCCGTCCAAATGCTGAATGGAATATTATTTCACCTTGGTACAATAAGCAAAGCAATCACCAGGTTCATTCAAAAAAACCCCAAATTTATTGTTCTGTGTTGCAGAAAGCCTTGACTGGCTGTTTTTAACATCTTTACAGAAAATAGTGATAATTCCTCCTCCTGCCAAAATTATGTGTTTGCCTAAAGACCATGTAATAGTAACAGTCTTATTGGTAATTTCATAAACCTGATGTGTTACAGGGACTGTTCTTTGTGTGTGTAAGGAAAATGTGTACACACCCCATTCTTGATGCTTCTAACTGAAATGTATTCCACGAAGTGATTGAGTATAACCTGAATCAAGGTTCCATTATGTAAATCAAGCTCTGTTTTGGGAATTGAGTGAGGCAGATGTACTTTTGCTACTGTCTCCCAAAGCATCTCCTGCCTGGCCACTTTCAGGGATAGCACAGAAAACCCCAAAAGAAGCCATAGGTCAAACCTATCAGAAGCTATATCTGTGATACAGCAGTGCTATGCAGTAGTATTTATTTGATATGACATATTACAATTATATAAATATTCTTAAAATATCACATTACTGATTGTTAGTGTCTATATTGCTATTAACCCTACACTCTTAACTGTGATACATAGTAATGTATTTTATCTTCAATTTGCTTGACCCTGCTGCTCTCCATGCACAATGCATCAAATTTCTTTTTTTTTTTCACATGAGATTTTTTGTCCTTAAGTAGAAGGAACATCATATTTCAATGGGAAATTAAGCATCTGACTTGTATTTCAGTGGCAAAACATCTCGTTCTCCCCTCTTCAATCCTCTTTCCCTACATACTTGGTATTTTCCATTGACTTGAGACCCCTGCAATTTACTTCTTTTAACAAGGTGCAGATTTTGAAATGCTGTACCTTTAATGAGTGATAATGTAATTGGATAAAAGCTGTGAGGATGAACAGAGCTTTAAAGGTCACTCTTGTAAGAAGAATTAATGCGTTATACCATTAATAAACCATGGAAAACTGTGGAGCAAAAGATAACATATTTAAGTTATTGTTAATGACATAGAGTTCACTGCCGTATATCTCTCCGCTACAAATATAGAAAGTGACTTTTTGAGGTTGCTGAGCAGTATCATTGTGCATGCTGTATGGGTAAGATAAGCTGTCTTTAGCTGGTGCAGGAGCTGGATGGACACTTCTAGCAAAGGTTTATCCTTTAATGGAGGACTGCAAGAAGGAAATGCTCCTGAACACCCTGCATGATCTCCTGCTAACTGCTAGGTCAGATCCAACACAAATCGCAGCAAGCAGAACTCCTTGCCATGATGAAACTCTTGAAGTGAGCATGAAATCCCATGGCACCCTCCAGCAGGAGCTACACCAGGAGAAATTTTGGTAGCATTTTTAGCAAAGCTACAAAGGTCTCTAACGTGGTAGGGAAGCTGGATCACTTTCTCATCCTGAGTGATAAACCCCTCTGCAAAGAGCCACTGGGAAACACCCAGTCACTTGTCAGAGAGTTGCCTCCACCTCTGGAATGGTTGGAGCTGTCAGCACAAGGCTCAAGCTCTGTCCTAGGTGTGCACAGCCCACCTTGCTGGCATGCAGCTGAGCTGTCCCTTTTCACCACCACTGACTTCAAATCAAGCCCTTCTCTGAAAGCAGCCCTTCAAGCTCCTGGGCTCCCATGGCATGGAGAAATGCCTGTGTATTGTTCAGTTTTCTTTGGGGGACGTGAACTCAGAACCTCGGGGATTATGAGCAGGGCTACACTCAGGCATACAGCTCCACAGCCCTCTCCAGGGCTATCCCTGTAGCATAAAAATTGTGCTACAGACTGAGCAGTCACAAATGTCATGGCTTCATGTATGACTTTAAATCCAAGCATTTCTTTTTGGAAACAGGCATATGTCCGTGTACTAAAAACAGAAACAACTTCTCTCTGCTCTTTGCCATTATCTGCAACATCTCTGTGCTAGTTTGGCAATCCTTGGAACTAAGTTCATTTTATGTAATGCAGTTCCCCTCTCTGTCAATAATTCACCACCTACCCTAAGCAACCATAATTTACATTCAACTCGCTTTTATATTAATCATTTCCCTGCACACCAGCATCTTGGCAGCTACTGAAAAACATAAGGAGTGCTTGCTTTTATTCACTGTCATGTGCCAAACTGTCTCAAAGATAGCAGTATTCAGGAAAAGCCAAATAGTCTGGAGAAGGGCATGAATTCCAGCTCCTAAGCAAATTTGGCTCTGTTACAGACTGAAAGTATTATACCTAGACTACAGCAAAAGCAGCACTAATACTGCTGTTTGTTTATTTGCTTCCTTTTAAATTTATTCTGACTACATGCAAAGTTGATCAGATGCAAAGACTAACAGATGCAAACTGGGGAAGAAACCAAGCAAGTTGGTAAAATGGAGATTAAAGAAAGGAAAAAACAAAAAAGAAAAATCAGCTGGTAGCGCTGTGCTGGTGCAGGCTATATTCTTCCTTATGCTGGGAAAATTGGAATTCCATTGGCTGGGAATTATTGAACTGGGTCATTTGATAAAAGCAACGTGAATCAAGTTATTTCATATAAAACTCTCAGTGTTCCTGGATTTTAGCTCAAAGCTGTTAGTACAATTAGCAACAGTCAAACTGCACAGGAACTTCTCTTTCTAGCTTTTTTTTCTTCAGGGAAGATGGGAATATCAGTCCCACTCTATCCACAGTCAAGAAAAACCAACAATAAAACCCCAAAGCAAGCTAAAATCCTGACAGCAGCACAACACTGAACTAATCTGACATCAGCTTCTTCCCCAGAAATGTTTTAAGCAGCAAGACAATGTCCTACGTTTTTGGCAATCAGCAGATCAGATAGAAGAGTCTAGCAATACAACAGGGATGTGTAATCTGACATGATTAGACAAGGCTCTTTAGGAATAGAACATTCATAATTGAGACAAAGAAAGAGTATTAATAACACTTTCCTAACACGGCAGTTAGCCATTTTATATTTCCTTTCTTTAATCTTAGTGTTTTTCAACAAATCATAGGATTTAATAGCATGTTTTGGCAGATTAGAGGATTTATGGCCCAGATGTTTTTTGTTCTAAAAATGGATTAGGGTGTAAAGTTTGCTGGAATCCATGGAACATGTTGAGGCAAGCCGGTCATTTTGTGTGTGATTAGTGCCTGCCTTCTGTCTCACAGTCCCTCCATCTGTCACAATTCACCAATGGATCTGGGTAGATTTAGCCTCATGTCACAAACAGAAGTCCCTTTTCTGGATAATTTCATATTACAGATTCATTTTGTGCAGTTTTTATGCTCTAGTTAAAAGACAAAAAGTGTGTTTGTGTGTGTGTGTGTGTGTGTGTGTGTGTGTGTGTGTGTGTGCAGACGTGTGGGGATGTGGAGGGAGAGAGTGAGGTTGATAGATATTAGCCTCTACTTTAATATCTGAAAAATAGACTGGGGCTTGGAGCCTCCCATTAGTATTCTACCCTGCAAATCACATGCAGATCATAATAAGTATAATCTACAGTACACTAAAGGAAAAAAATGACAAAGTGTCACATTTAAAATTAAATAGTATTAGCTGTGTTGGTGATGCTTGTAACATTTTGAAAGGAAATAATTCAGTGACTACTAAGGCTAAGCCCTAGGCTATGAATTTGCAGCAAAACAGTGGACATTTGACCTACTATTAGCAGCATAAATAAGAATGGGAATGTAGGTCCGTGTAGCTGTGGTTTCTTGTACATTTATGAATGACAGGTGGCGGTGGGGAGTATTCAGTGGATGAGGTTTTTCTTCTCAGCCATTATGCATTTCATATGTATAGCAAACCACCGCCACCTGTGGTTTATTTTAATGTAGTCACAAGTTCTAAGAAGGGGAAGAATGAAATTGTCTATTTTAAAGAGTTTGGGATTGCTGGTGTGATCAGAGCTTCCCCTAACTCTTACCCAGTTACATCCTCCTTCATAAAAACCACAGGGCCAACCTCTGCAGTGTCAGGGAAATATTGAAACTAATGGGATCAAATAGCAGCAGTGAGGATTTTGGCACCAAGATTTCTCAGGCTTTATGTCCAGGTGGCTCTATCATAACAACAGCAGAATTACAGAGCACAGGCAGGTTTGTGGGCATTGCCTTTTAACTCTTTCTCATTAACAGTGATAAACTGCATTCCACTGCTGGAAGCTGAAGTGTTTTCCTGTAACTTCCCTTTTTTAAGACATCCTTTCTTCTGTCACATCGCCAGGTTATTTAAATGACCACGATGCTGTCACCAAGGCAATCCAAGAGGCCCGGCAGATGAAGGAGCAGCTACGGAGGGAGCAGCAGGTGCTGGATGGGAAGGTGGCCGTGGTGAACAGCCTGGGTCTCAATAACTGCAGGACAGAAAAAGTGAGTTTCCCAAACTCCTTCTGCAAAGGGTCAGAGTGTTCTTTTGCCTCTTCCCACAGATATACAGGTTCTTCCTCCCTTCTCGTCCTCCTTTTTATTCTATTTTTTCTTCCCATATTTGAAACAGAATAGTTAAAAAAAAAAAAAAAGTGAAAAGCAAAATGGAAACCACAGCCAAAAGGTGACATGAAAGAAAGACCTGGGGACCTCTGGGGGAGAATGGGGAGGAGGTAGAGATAGTTAAAGCCCTCACAAGAACTCTGGAGAGCACTAAATCTCTGTTCCAGACTGTCAACATGTATTAAGAGAAGGTGATCTTGGAAATCTCTGGGTCTAAGTGGAAATCCTTCTTTATGGAAATGCTTACATGTGTTTGTGAGATGAGCTGGATTTGAAAATATTCAAGCTTCTTTAAGAACATGAGCTTTGCTGATACTCAGGCTCAGCTTCTGGGTATTTAGCTTTGTGAGGTCATCATATATGATATTTTGTGACCATTGCAATGTAGCACTGTAATGTCATGTTAGATGACTGAACAGAATTGAAAAGTGGAGAACTGACAACACAAACTGCACCAAATATTTGCAGTGAAACTTAGAGGCAGCAGAACGTATGGGCCTTACCACCTTCTGCTCTTGGACTGGCCTGTGAAGCTGTGCTGTAACAAAATACCAACAAAGTGGATATTCTCTAGTAAAATCTGTATGTGCTCTCACTGCCGTGTGTGTCAGTGGGGTTGTGCTTTGCTTCTTTTCTCAGTGAGTGTCTGATGTCTCTGTGTGCAGTGCCTTGGCATCTGGAGGATAAATAGACCTGCCAGTGCTTGCTGCCACATTTGTTGTGAGCTGTCCTTACAATGCTGCCACCTAAGATACACATCTCAGCTCTGTGTGTCTCAGCATTGTGTGCTTAGCAAGACTTTCTCCCCTGCTCCTCTCCTTCCCTGCAGTATATTCTGGGATGATACAGCTGTTGTTGTGCAGTACAAGGATCCCCATTGTCACATTTGGTGTCAGCTACATTTAATTGAAACCACTTCTACTGTAAGGCCTTGTGCAATTCACTGAGACAGGCAGTTAAATAGATTGAATAAAAATGATCAGCTGTTTAGCAGAAACTTGAAACCCAGTCATCCTAGGAAGCTTGTGAGTCAAACAGTATTGTCCAGAATGAGCAGATTGCTGATTTGGATAGCTTTCCATTTTGCCTGGTTTTAGATGGAGTTTGATCAATAAGCTGTGAGAAGCCATCAGCCTGTGTAATGAATGTTAAATGTACATGTGAGTCTCTCACCACTGCACTTTTTTTCATTGGCCTGTCCTGGGTATCAGTAATATAGAAATTACTCCAATTTCATGCCCTTTTCGGAGAGGAAGGGGAAGGAGAAAAGAGGTCAGTGTAATAGGTATCTGGCAGTACATACACTCTGTCTCAGAGGAGCAAGGGTGCTGCTATGGGGAGAGAGGAAGAAAGAAAGAGAGGGCTAGAGCATGTTTATGGCATTTCACAGAGAAGAGCACCAGAAGAGAAAAAGGAAAAGCAGAGTGTCAGATATAAGAAGAAGTGATCACAAGCACAAAGAAATTTATATTCAAATATTTAAGCATTCTTGAAAGGATGCTCGGAGCAGAAATTCCTTTTCTCTGCTCCCCATGTAGAAATGACTTTAACACTCAGCCAGATGCTAATGCAAAGTGACTCAAGCTATTCCTCGCAAGCATAGCTAAATTGCCATTATTTGTTAAGCGCATTGAATTCAGCTGTGGATACAGCAGTTGGTTGCATTCAGAAAGCATCTGTACCTTTTTTTTTTCCTTTTTTTTTTTGTTTTAAATCCTCCAAAGCAGAGACAGCTCTACCTATCTCCCCCCTCTCCTCCCTTGTGCTGGCTGGGAATTGTCAAGTGACAACCGACCAAATCCTTTTGGACAGGAAGCCTTCATCTGGGGTTCTATATACTTGCAAAGCAGGCCTTGTGGTTGGATCAGGAAGCCCATTAAAAGCACTTTGATGGTATGGAAATTCATCTTCATGAAGCACCCAGGCCCCTAAGCAGCATGCTGTTTAGCTGTGGTTACAGATCAGTCATTCACATCGGAGGGCAGTAATTGTGCTGACTGCTTGTTCAGCAATGGAAGCACATAAAATAATCCCAGGCCCTCCACCATGGCATTGCAAGTAAATCTTCTTTAATACAGATCAGCTGTTGTTCTAACACATGACTTTATGCTGGCTCTAGTGACTCTGCACAGCTTTTTGATTAAGTAACAGGCGTGGAACCAGCTGCATTCACTTTATTCTGTTACTTTCCTATTTTTGGGATTCTCCTTATTCCTTCTGTTTTCACTTCACACCCTCCACCTCAGTTGAAGTTTATTTTCCTCTCTAATTCATACGTCCTGGTAGGCTTGTAGAGGGCAGACAGGAGTTCTTTTACAAGGTAGCAGGAAGAAAAAATGGTTTGCTCAATAGCGAATTTTTCTAAAGCAGCTGTAGGCTTTGGGGGCTTGATACAATTAATGCCAGAACTTTTTTGGGACTGATTTGAACTCAATGATCTCAGAAATGTTTTCCAGCATAATTGATTCTGTAATTTATTTTAATGTGTTAAGTTCATATCCAGACAAACAATCCAATTTCTCTAAAGTTTGTGTCTTTTTGCTCTAGGACATTAAGATTTTCTCACTAAGAGCAAGATTTGAGAGGAAAGCAAGTATCGCCATTTTTAATTAAACTTTTTTCTGGTTTTCTCTGTTTTCAGAGGCAGAGGATGAGACAGCTGGGAATTTGGTTAGCAAGAAATAGTGCTACAGTTTTTTTACAGAATTTCCCTTTTCAGAAGCTCAAGGTCCCACCACAGGACTTAGTGGCAGCCCCTTAACTTTTGACATGATGTCTGTCATTTTTGCTTCCTGACAAGAGAATTTGAGATGAGGGGTGGAATTAAGAGAGCATTATTCTAAGGTATATCTATATATCCCTGGGCATATTAGTACTTAGAAATGCACATTAGTATTTATAGGTAACAAACACTCATGTGGGGGCTATCCCAGATTTTTTTTCCCTTCTTTGCTGCAGTGGGCAGTGTAATTTTGGAGGCCTGTGATTCCCTGAGACCTGTTGAGCTTTTTGTTGCAAGAATTGTTTCTGCAGCCTTCCAGTGCAGGGGGATTCCAGTGCCATTCCCAACGTTTATGGGAGATTCTTGCTGGGGATTTGTCTGCCAGGGGTAACTGGGCAGGCTTGGGCCTGGAAATCATCTTTGGGAACCTCTGTTAAAGCTCTTTGGGTTCTTCATATGTGTCCTGTTTTCTTGCTCATGTTCCCAGTTGGGATGATCCCTGTGGACAGCCAGACATGCCAGCTAAAGCAGTAGTCAGACAGGAATTTTGTGGAAATAGAGAGAAACTGTATAAAAGGAGTCGCACATAAGAAAAGATTTTTAAAAATCGCTAAGATGATTTGGGTGAGTCAGTTTTTGGGCATCCAACTTGGACCATCTTGACGGATTTGATTTTCAGAGGATTACAGTAAAAACTTTGAGTATCACTATGAACATGGATTTCACTAAAACCTATTTTAATTGCAAATGCAGTAAAACATATTTTTACATTACTTTTCTTGGAAACATTTCCTTGTATAAATGAGAAGAGTATGTTTTTGTGGTTCCTCAGAAACCTGAGAGCATAGCTTTATTTGTAATTGTCATCTACAGTTAATTATAATTTGACATGTACCATTCGTAAACAATGTTACCTGGGGTAAACAGCACAACAGGCAGCATCAGCTAGGGAGCTCTGGCCTCTCTGTTCAGCTCCAAAACAGAAAGGGAGATGTGCACAAGCCCAAAGAGCCAGCACTCCTGCAGGGGTAGCAGCACAAACATGCACATTGCTAGGCAGTGATTCCCCACTGCTCCAGGCTCGGGGATGTACCCTGTGACAGAGGAGGAGCATGGCACACAGGCAGCACCTCTTCCTCCTTTGTCACTGCTTTCTGAGTGCTGGCAGTGCTTGGGACAGCTGTGTAAGGACACCCAGCCCCAGGAGCCTTTCTGATGTGTAGGGATGGAGTTGCACTCCAAGCTGAGTAGATCCCAGTACCCGCCCCCTTCTCTTGCTGGGGGTGTAGCTGAACCTGTGGTGCAAGTTCTCCCTGTTACTGCTGGGAGTGTGTCCTTTTAAAAGGATCTGGCATGTGCTTGTCCGCTGGGTTGTGACTAAACAGCTATTTGTAACAATATTTATTCCAGCATTGTAAGCTGGAGCCTATTACTCATGCTTATGGAGCACCAGGTTCAGGATGTCTTTCCTCCCATTCCCAATCACCCCTCCTCCCTCCATCCTTCCCACTCCCACCCCCACCTCTCCCTGTTCCCCTTAAGAAAGTGCCAAACATGAAATGACAGTGACCAATGTTGACTTAATGTGGATGTTTAATAATGAAAAAAGTGTGTCAGTTCCAGGGTTAGTTACAAATGGCAGAAAATATATTGGGTGGCAGCCCTGTAATAATTTTACATCCATCATTCCTTCTGATGCCTCATTGGCTGCCTGATGGATGGGGATAGCAGAGTTAACTCTTAAGAAACCGCTGTGATCCACTGAGCTGAAATGGATTTTGTCCCTGCTCTCCCCTTGGGAAGAAGGGGAATATTAAGACAAACCTGCAGCTCCTGATGACTTTGAAAAATAACACTGTAGCTCACTTTACTAAACACATACGGAGTAGTTGGTTTGACACATGACTTTTAAATTTTTCTCGCAGTAGATAATTTTGCTTCGATAACTTTTTTTCCTTCCCCTAATGGTTAGATTTGAACCAGAAAGTCAAGAGAGAATTGCAGGACAGAATGGCAGGCAGGAGAAGAAAAGAGAAGGGTTGGTACAAGAGAAAAACCCTGGGCTTGCTGCAGACACTGAGAGGCCATGGGTCAGGCTAGGCTGAGTAATTAGTGATGATTGAAACTGGGACCTGGTGCAAGCCAGCCTTCCCAAGCA